AAAAGTCAAGCCTGAGATAGATATCAAGAGAAAAAGTAATATGATATGGGATCTATGATTTAGCGTCCAATATCATATCGAAAATAAAGTAAACTTAACATAGATATATTGAATTTTCAAATAGTCAAGAAAATGTGGAAATATTCCTAGAGATTTTCCATAAGTAAACTCTACTTAAGCTAGAAAAATGCACTAAATATTAGTAGAATTTCAGTTTTTGCGAGTGCAACTGCCAGTAGACGGCAAAGGCAGCAGCTAGCGGCGCAGACTCGTAATCAACGTTTATTTCGTGGCTCGTTCGTGTCCCCCATGCGACCGTCGACCGTCCTTCACCAAGCTAGAAGCCCCGTCTATCCTTTCCTGTTTTGACTTCAGGGTATGGGGACTCGGGATGGGGATCTGGACTGGGCCTGGGCCTGGGGATGGGGATGGAGGTTGGGGCTGGGCATTGGCCGGGTCTGGGGTCTGGAACTGGGACTTAGGCCGCTGGCCGTTCCTTTCCGTCTTTGGGGTTTTGTCTGTCTGTCAGCTCGTCAGCAGACACACGTACACATACACTTGCAAATATATGGACACAGAGATATATATTGTGCTAAGGTATTTGCTGGAGATTTTTGCAGTGTATGTACATATCTGCATCTATAAAGTTTTTATTGCCGCAGCTGCGGGCGTGTTTCTGGGTGCGCCTCGCTGGGTAAAATAAATACGCATAAAGCCACCATAGCTGCGCGGAATGGAAGCAACAGGGATAACTACTACTGCATGTCAGAGAATTGCAGCGTTTTTAATATATTATTCCTGTATTTTAATTGCGACCCATAAAACGCTTTGTACATATTGCTTACTGAATTAAATAAGCCTTCGGGGGAAAAGTTGTGCCCCGCTTAAAAGCAGAGCAGATTTCATAAAAGGTAAACATTTGAAAGTTAAGAAGTAATACTAGGTGCCTTTAAGGCCAAAGGCTTTTTATAAAAGGTTTTAAAGAATTCTTTACAAGCTTAACTAAAACTATTTTGAAGTTATTTTCTTGTTACCAGAATGACAGTATTTTCTAACTGATTCATATCTTTGATCGACACAAAGACCTAACTGCTCTCTAAGAATTTGCATTGTATCTTGCACATTCTTTGCAAATATTTCTCAAGGCCAAGTTAATTTTCTTTATCAGATTGCTTTCATAAACAATTATAAAATATAGAGAATATTAACAAAAGTACTTATCATAATTATCAGTGCTCTGTGATAGCCAAGTTTTCTTAATTCAGTGATGTACCCTTTTTTTTTATGAACTTCACCAGTTTCTAATTATCATCGCTATAGCGACTGTGATATTTTCCTTTCATCTGAACAATTCCAAGCAGTTGGCCGACAACGACGCTTCGTTTCTTTGCCTTTGTTTCAGTTATTTTCCTATAATTAACAACGCACAGCGGCCTAGACATCGTTCATGGTTCAGCTGCAGGCTCTCGGCAGAGATGTTGGCCTGCAGTTCACAGACGATTGTAAATGAAGAGCCCAAACAATGTGTCTTAGTATTCCCGGCTACAGTACAGCTCCGCTCCAGCCTCGGATATGGATTCAGCTGCAGACCACGGGGGCTGGACCACAGACTATTCGATTAGTCGGGGTGCCAACGCCAACGCCGCCGCGGCTCCAGCTTCGAGTTCGGCTTTGGGTCTCCGGCTCGCCATCATCGTCTGATAAATATTAAGAAACCCCGAGATCTACACCGTCATCGCCATCGCCCTCGCACAGTGGTTCATTATGCTAGCCAAAAATTAAAAATAAACTTTATTTTCATTGGATTTATTTATATTACTCCACCAATTTAAATATTATTTTTGTTTATCATTTGATTTAAGTTTTTTTTTTAATGAATTTTGAAATATTTGAAGAACCACTGTGCCTCCTCCGTCGTCCGGATTTCGTTCGTCTCGCCTGTCGGCTCTCCGTCTTTTTTTATCCGTCATGCTGCCGCTTTGTTTTGGGGGCTATGGCTCCTCCGGTTCCTACGATTCCCTCGATCCTACGAGGGAAAACGCAGCGAAAATAAAATAAAAATGTAAATAAAAGACCCCAATGAATGCAATAACAGCAATCCTAGCGAGCAGCGTCATAAAATGGTGCGTGGGATTGACAGCGAAGACAGCTACAGATGCAGATGCAGATGGAGATGGAGCTGGAGAGATGGCTTTGGCCAAAGAGGGGCATCATCGTCTGGCTTATTCGAGGGCTCGTGGTGCCCCAGGCACAGCCATCGGCGATCGAATCCCCAGCAAAAGCCCAGCCCCAGAGGCAGCGTGTTGAGCACTCAAATTGAATCTCGACTTTATCGGCACCCAGCCACGGGCCGCTGGCAGACACGAAATTAATTGGCTTAATTTATGTGAACTTTTATAAGAAAATGCACTCAGGCTCTGTGCAAAGTTGATTTACATTTATTTTCGCATTGCCAACGCGGTTTAAATACCCATCCCCGTCGTCTAATGGTTGTTTGGTTGTTAAAGCCGCATCAAGCTGAGCTCCTTCCACAACGAAATCCACATCCACATCCCCGTCCAGGTCCTCCAGCTTGTGCGTTGGCCAGCCTTCAGCTCCAGTCTGGTGGATTACCAACCGTCAACGGATGAGGGAAGCCACGTAGACGGCCAGACAAAGACTGTGACTGATGGCTGGCTGGCGGATCCGAGGCCTGGGGTATTAATGCACTTGGCGAAAATGGGGAGCTCATTTTGTAAAATTCTTTTCGAAATCAACAGATTTATTATTCAATACATTGATATTATTAATTTCATTACTCTTTTCAGGAATCCTTCTTTTCTTATTGATATTTTAAGCTAGATCCCTCTATTTAACTATCAATTTCTCCCAGTGCAAACGGACCACAATTGGGTTTGGGATTGAAGCGGAGGCTAGGACTGTGTTAAAGAACAGAAAATCTATTTGCAGCCGTTGTAAGGGATCGGCGCGTCGTTGTAGGCCATAATTGCTCTCCTCAATAAAGCAAAAATTTATTTCCACTTCAACCGCTTGAGCCGCATCAGGCTTTTCGTTTGGCCTGGGCCCCGCCAAATGGGACGCGCTGAGAGTTGGCCAAGAGCTTATAGTAGTTTTGGCCAAGAGCGGTACGGGCGCGATGGGAGATCGGTACGGCCGGCAGAAAGGCAGACTGCAGCAGCGACATTGTGGGCGTCGAGCATAAATAAATGTCTTTATGTGCCTTCGCCTCGCTCAGTTATTGTTCTTCATTCTGCATGCGGTCGGGCCGAGGCTTCAACTCCGAATTGTATTTTTAAGACGCGGTTGAACGACACTTTAACGACTCCAGACTGTTGAGCAATAGCCGAGAACTAGTCGCCATTACCAGTGCGAACTGGCGGAGGGCGGGGGCTTCAGGGCCACATACAGTGGATGTGCGTCCCGTTGCCTCGCAGCAAACGAAAGACTTAGGCAACGAACGCGCGCTCGGTGCGCGATGCCCGATGCTCGATGCCCACTGCCCATGCCCGATGCCCGATGCCGGCGATGTAATTAACTCTAAGCGCTCGTCCCCGGGCACTGTTAATCGGGATGCAGCGATCGGATGGCTTTCCAGTAGTCTAATTTGGCGTTTTAGGAGAGGCCAACAGCCTGCCCCCCAATTAATAAATATGGACTCGACTCGCGCGCGTTGCATAAAATAAATCATAGAGCGACCACCGGTAATCGGGAGAATCAGCCAGCGGCCAACGGCCAACGGCCTTTGGCTGACTGCACCCCTCAGCGGCGTGTCGGATTTTATAAATGAGAAATGGTAAAAGTTTCGAGCGGAGAACGGTGCTCAGCTCGTTCACATATATATGGTAGTTCTTCGATGCTCCAGCACGCACGCTCATAAAAAGCGCCGCCATTATGGGTAATTTTGCAGCATAAATTGTAAAATGCCGCAGAGCTGTCAATTTTGGCACTGCCCCGAGTAAAGTGGGTCAGGCAAGGTCGCTCCGCCGCTGTTGTTGCTTCCAAGTGCGACGCACAGGCAGAGTAGAGGCAGAGTAGAGTAAGCTAAGTGCCCAGGTATGTACATAGCTTGTTTGCTTTTGCGTTTGCGTTGGCTGGTAGCCATGTTCGTGTAGTTACCTATATAAATATATATGTATATATTTATATATATATAAATTTGTACCGATGCCGACATAGCCAGTTCCTGCAACAGCAGTCGACAGCTCACTAGTTGGCTGCAGATGAATGTATTATGCAATCCATCAACATGGAGCGAACGATTTGATTAGATCCGCCATATGGTTTGATTTTTCAAACATTTGCCGGGGATTATCCTCATAAACAGTTTATAAGTCGCTGTTAACTGGGAAATTAGCCAAAGATATCTTAGATTGCAGCATAAATTAATTTCCAAGCAAACAAGTATTTTGTTGGTGAACAGTCGCCAGTAACTGATAAAATCATGCAAATTGCTTTTATATATCAGGGTCAATTAAATATTATTAACATTAAATATTATCCTTAATAGCTTAACTGTGGTTTTTACTATATTTGGAGAGTTTTAATTGCTTAAGTTTAGCAAATAAACTTGTATAGGTAGGGATTCAGGTTGTCTACTTACAATAAACTATTATCTAATAGGTAATAATAGTTGTCTTCTTACGTAGTTTAATAATAAACCATTATTTAACCAATAATAATAGCTATTTTTGTTTACTCTTAAAGTAAATATTGTATTTAGCAGAGACAGTTTTGATAGATAGATACGTAATTCAACTTGGAAGTCTTATGAAATATTACAAATTAAACTTTAGAGAGTCTGAAATGTATATTTAAAGATTGCTCCAAAAAACCTATAGCATAGCAAAGTTATTTTTAAGTATTACATACACCTTCTGCCATTTCAGACCTATTTGATTTTGTCCCAAGCGCAGAGACTTGATTTATATTATATTACTCTCCCCCAAAAACACCAACTGTGAGCCGATTAAATATGTACATACGAAGTAGTTCAATTATACCTTTTGAATGGTTAAAACGAGCTGCGATGTGAACTCCGGAGAAAAATGGTCGTATCTTCACAGTCTGACTCTTAATTTTAACTTTCCATGTGGTCGGTCGCCTTATTTATGCAACCCGAATTCGAGCACTCCACTGATTTTGTTTGTTTGTCGTTCGTAATCAAGTGATTGACATTTTTTGGGACCCGCACTGAATATTAATAGTCGGAGGCATCGCTGGCACATTGGCTTAGTAAGCACATTTTGTTTTTTTTCAGTCCTTCCGCATCCAGCACGTCTTCAATAAATTTCGTTTCGGAGAGCAGAAACCGAAGCCGAAGCTGAACGCGAAATCGAAATCGATCCGTGTTTTTCTAAGCCGCTCAAATGGCCAATTTGTGGCTTCGCTTGAATGGACCCCGAACGACCTTGCCTTCGGATTAGATCAAAGTCGATCAGATCGGTTCGAAATTAATGGGGATCCCGGCCAGCCAGAGACCTGTCACTCACTACTAGGAAACGATTTCTTCTCTTCTTTTTTTTTTGTTTTTCGAAATTCAATACCGAAGCCGATTATTTGGGGAACTTTGCGAATTTCTTAAACGTTCTTTGTTCACAAAGTCTCCGATTGCAAACGACAAAGTATGCGGTACAGCGTCCGCATTAAATTGCTGCAATTATATCTCGATCCCGATACCGATGCCGATGCCGATCTCGATCGCGATCACCGCTTGAGCCTATCCGATCCGATCCGGGTTTGTTGTTTAGCGCGCCGCCGTCGAAGTGCTACTGCCGCCAATGGTCCGGAAAGAGTGCTCGGCTAGTGAAGCTTATCGGGGAGAATTCTTCGCAGAAAGCCAGAGACGCAGACGCAGACGCAGAAAGCCGGTTTCTCTCACTCTCTTTCTCCGTCTGTGTGGAAAACCAAAGCCCACTCTGCAGCTCTCGGATCTTTGTGGGAGCAGCAAACCCGTTTCGCTCGCCGGTAGGTACAACAACCACTCCAATGAACCTTGATATATTCCCAATAATAAACAAGCCTGAGAACTATCGGAAGCGGACGAGTCCGCAATTAATCCTGCAGCTCTTGTGTTCGGTTGCGTTCGCACATGCAAATGGGTTTCTTTCAATTATCTAACTATTGGCAACAAATTTGCACCGCTTATACAATAGGTGCTGGATTTTTCGTGACTATATCGAGTGGTTTCAGAGGTGCTGGAATAAAGTCATGAAGACATTGGACAATAAAACGCTAAGCTTATCATTGTTTTTAAATAAAAAAACGGGTAAATTAACAGGGAACGCTCATTTCATTGTTTGAAATAAATAAATTTCTATCTCGAATAATATTTATTATAGAAAAGAAAGGGAGCTAGGATCTGGGGTTTATATCCTATAATTATTACAATTATTATATTTTTACATATATATGTAGGTTTTGAGATTTTGTTCTTATAAAGGTCACAAATGAAGCCTGTATCTTTGAATCTAAAAGATCGAAATTGAATTTCCAAATCTAATAGATTTTTATAATTTCATTTTCAAAAATAGGTTTTTAAATTATTAAAAATCTATCTCCTTTGTAATAAACTAATGAATCTGAATTACCTATCAATAATATCATAAAGTTTCCTTTAACAACCACTTCGGTTTCATGATTTTCATTTTAAATAATGACCAACAATTCAATGTTGAACATTTTCTTAAGAACAATTTCCCATTGTGAATGTGATCTATTTCAAGAAAAATCAAATCAATCAATATGCATCTATACTCCAAAAAGAGAATCATCTTAGCCCACGGAGCATCAGTTTCATAATCCCCACAGTGACCATGCAAATTTTTGAGAACAAACATGTTTTCGATTAATAATTTGAGGCTGTTTTATTAATTTGGTTGAAAGGCTGGCAAACAAATTAAAACATTTATGGAACCAATGTTTTTTTTTTGGGGTTTGGTTCCGCTGTAAAACGCTCCACACGAAATTGCAGTAATTCGATCATGTTTTCGGCTTGTTCAATATGTGTAATCGTGTTCTGTGCCATTTATCTTGTGACCTGCATCTAATGCAGCCGGCAGAGCGGCCGCGGCACTATCGTAGGTACATTAAAATATTTCCAGTGCGCTGTCTGCCTGTCTATAGGATATTTATACACGGACCAACAGGGGGAAAAAAATGAAAAAGAACAGACAAAAAACACAATGAGGGCGGCAACCTAAACGGGTTTACCAAAAACCCAGGCCCAGACCGGAGCCCGAATCCGAACCCAAGACCAGAACGCGGAGCAGATGTTGAACCCATTTCTCATATTAACCTCCTGCATGGCAGAGTCGGAAAATCTTGAGATTTGGCCAAAGGGGCCCACGTGGTGACATACTTTTCCAGGCTTAGTCACGTCCCGCTCTGACGAAGCCCGAGCTGGAGCTGGAGCCGCACTCCATCCTGGTGGCCCTGGCACATCCCACACTTAAATGGGGTCAACCCAATAATGAGGACGTCGTACAGCGAGAGAGATGGCTTATCCAATATCCAAATGCCATAGGTTGGCTACGCCCTAAATCCTAGATCGGAGCCACTAGTTGAGTATGCTTTTGCGGGCCTTCGATTAGGCCTTACCTTGAACATACTGGCTTGGTATATAACCTCTTTGACCTACACATATTAATTTTGATGATGACGACGGCCTGACCTTGTGACCAGGCGGCCAAAACAAACACAGACAGGCCGAGGAGTCCAAAGGAGTCCGCTAAGTATCGAATCGAACACGTCAAATATCCATTACCATTTCCACTACCACGCATATTTAAGTATATATAAACATAGGTATTTAGTATATAACCAATTTCAAGTGCATGATTGAATCGTTACTTTATAGTTCTTGAGTCGCCATTACCTCATTTTGATAGTATTCCTTAGTTAATGTTGAATTTGTTGCGCTCCATTACTCGGACGGGGGAGGGATTCCTTAGAGGCACTTTGATGTGGATTGTTTAGCGTTTGTAACTTATTTAAAGAAAATCATATTTAAATATACATTATTTAATTATGTATGTTGTATTTCCACAAATCGTTGAACACCTAAGAATATTATATATTTTATAAATGATACAAGTATTATGTTAGAAATTAATATAACTAAAAAGACTTCCAATTATTTCTGAACTTTTGTTAAAGTTCTTTCCAACTGAACTCTTCTTTTATTACACATTCAAATCTTTGTCTTCATTATTATGATTTCCTCTACTTCAAACATCTAAATTATCTATTATTTTAAAACTAAACCTTTTATTAAATCAAAATGTTAACAATCGCTGACAAAACTGCCGAAATGTCTCGCTTGAAAAACACAAGACAGCAGTAAAACAAATGTCATGTTGTTATTCCAAATTCAATATTGGCCATAAGTTTGGGGCTTTCACTGTCATGTTAACTTTGGCCGCATGGAAATTCAAATGCACACATTTAGTATATCTATATAGTAGATACTATAGTAGATACTATAGTAGATACTATATAGAGCTCAAATCACGCGATGCGCTTTGGAAGCGGAACCATGACAGGCTGCAACATGTGGCTGCCACGGTTAAACAATAACTATAGTTAAACCAAAAAAATAAAGTCCCTGCATTGGTGCAATTTGGTTTTATGGCCCCTTATCGGCCCTGAGTGCCAGCCAGTAACTCTTTGCATCTGGCCAACTTGCCGCGAAGAAAGAACTTGGCCATAAGATTGAAAGCCAATTCCACGAAAAGCCAAACTACGTACGTAAATGAATTGAAAGTTTTCACACGTACTCAGTGTCTGTGTAAGGCCCTTTGTTGATGCTCTATTTAGGAAGTGGTTACTAGATCATCTCGTGCGGCTTATCTGCGCTAACGAAAACACTTTGGCAGGGGGCTGGAATCGAAGTCGGAGGTACAACAACCTCGGAATCGGATCCGCCAAGCCAAGGCACCCAGCAGTTAGCAGCTCCGTCTCCACTTTCTCAAATTATTTTTAGGGTAATCAATAGAACGAGGTGGAGGCAAGAGAAAGAGTTCACTGCCTGAAAATAATTAATCTGGCTTTTGTTGAAAATGTTCGGGCATGTGGCCGATTTTTCGCCTGTACGTCTGACGGACGGACAGCCTTGTCGTGTTTATATTTCTGCCGAAAAAATCAAGTTTATTGACCTTAGTTATCTACACATTTTTCAATTTTAATTTACAAATGTGTGGGGAAATTATATTATTAGGGATTAAAGTCTCACACTACCATATTATAAAAAAAATTTGATTGCGAAATTATAAAGAAATCTGTTTCTGTGTCACGAAGGTATGGGTTTTAATTGAACCTCTAAAAGTTGAGAATTTGAAATGAATTTTCTATACACTGTAAAGGTTTTGACCTTACAAAGCATATGTTTTTCTGAGATTTAACAATGATTTATAACAATTAAGCAGCTTTTGTTATACTAAAACTAAGCAAAAAGAGTTCTTTTGATTTAAGGAAACACTGATTTATTAAAGACTATTTTAATTTTATTATCAACACATTATTGTTAACAAATTATTCGGTTAATTAATAACTTTCGATTGTATAATCATTTAGCACTCGTGGTATTTCAAATTACAGAACAGAAATGTAGAAAAAACGCGTCGCAACTGCGCGAATAAACAGTTTGGAAAACCCGCTCGCTACCGCTTGGCTCGGAGTCTTGACCACGTCTAAAGGTCTTTGAATTTGATTTGCATGCGAGCGACGCTAACGGCCACAGGACGAAGGACCTCCACTGGAAGGTTGTGGGCTAAATTTGTGGAAACCACCGTGGAGTACACCCTCCCCCTGGTAATGTCCGAGTAAATTAATGAATTAAGCCGCGATTTATGCCAAGTCCGGCCGTAAGTGTATACACTTACAAGGTGTTTCGGGCGAACCCTCGGCCAGTACGGGTGAAATGTGGCTCCGGAGAATGTCATTGAGACACCCTAATCCAATTTGCATACATATTCCCGAAGTGACCTCTCTCTATTTTTCCATACCGCCGGGCCCAACGCCATGGTTACCGGCCATGGTCAAAACACGCTACTGGACTTTCCATTAATTTATACAACAGGATGAATGGTGGCATGAATCCTGGCTGAATCGGCTATACATAGCTCGGGTGGGTATATATATGGAATCTCAGGTGGTTGGAGCTCGGGCTTTCCGAGATCTGGGGTCCGAGGAGTTTTTCCACACCTACACTTCGCTCTCTGTGGGTTCGTGAAAGGCAAACTGAACGAAATGTTTGGGTTTCCGGTTTGACTTGTTGAGGTTTTATTTGCATGCGAGCTCTGCTCTTAACCGCCGCTTGTGGGTAGCGTATTGGAATACTTAATTATTCCTGTTCCCTATTGGCTCTCCTCCACCATATTTTCGCATTCACGCAATCCACGCACTGACCCCCGATTGCAAATCAAATTCTGCTTTAATGGCCAAATTCCCTTTCAACGAGATTTCACTGGATTTACGTGCATCCGAGTTTTGGGGTCCAAGCCATAGGCTGGGAGCTGGGTGAATTTTTAGCCCTAACTTTAGCCCTAGCCCAATTGGGGTCAGCCACCCAGTGTGTGAGTGTGTGCCATAAGCAGTGTTTCTTTCCAATAAAAAATGATTTATGAATTGCCTCAACTTTCTTAAAAAAAAGGCGCATAGATTAGGGGGAAATATTTTATTGGGAGCATGCCTAAAGACCTTTGATTATCCTTGGGCTTATGGACGGTTATATAAGTTATGAGCTGTTTATA